AGGAAGAGGGATGTCAGCCAGTCCTTTTCTCCAAACGGAGAATGGAGGAATGCGGCATTGCCTGGTCTCGAGAAGGCCGAATCGGATTCTGATCAAGCCCAGTGAAAAGAGGTGGTTCCAGTCCTGACCTAATCTAGTTCTTGTTCAAGAACCAGCATGGCTACTAGGGGCTGGCTCCTGGCCTTACTACTAGGAGCGATCGGATGCTACGAACGGGGCTCCTGGCATCGCTAGTAACCGAGAGGACGCGAACCGAACGTAGCAAACGTGGACTGCATTCGGACGGATGACTTGCTCCAAACGAAGCGTTCGTGCAGTGTTCCAAACGAAGACGCAGCTCCTCGATGCGGCCGACGAGGTGCAGATGTGGCCTACTATCCCTGTGGCCTCCTGTCGAAAAGGACGGAAGACAACAGAAGCGATGCACTTGTTACGAACGTAGCTTCTTGCTCCTATTAGTAAGGCCAGGAGCCCCTAGTAGCGTCCCTGCTCCTAGTAGCGATGCCAGGAGGCCCTAGTAGCTTCTTGCTACTAGTAGTAATGCCCTTGTTACGAACGTAGTGATGCACTTGTGGCCTCTTCAGCTCCAAAGAAAGAGCATGTAAAGTAAGAGGAGCTCCAGGAAGATAAAAAGGAAAAGAAAAGAAAAAACCACGAACGGTCTAAAGACAGACCTCTTTCGATATGTTTTGCCACCGAGGCTTTGTCGGGTCACGGAAGTTCTACCGCGTCTCCTTTGACATTTGCTTTCCTTTCGAGGAGGTCCTGACGCCAAATGTGGTTGAGTGCCCCGATCGTAGCGTGAAATTGCTCCTAGTAGTAGGGCCAGGAGCCCTGATCGTAGCTTCTTGTTCCTAGACGCGATGCCAGGAGCCCCTAGTAGCATTCTTGCTCCTAGTAGTAAGACCCGGAGCCCCTAGTAGCTTCCAAATGTGGTTGAGTGCAGTTGGATGATTGGCACAGTTCGCAAGACTGGGAACAAACCACCCGACTTCATGTCGCAGACCTTTCAGTGGAATAGACAAATTGGGACATGCCAAGACTGGACTATTCCGGAAACCTTATGGCAAGGAGAGGAACAGAGTAAACATTTGTGAATACGCTGTGAAGAAGTTTGAAAAGGCACACTGTGAATACACACTGTGTGAACATGTGTGAACAGGGCACTACGGTTGAAGTCACTCTGCATACAGAGATTCGATAGAAAAAAGCCTTTGTGCAATGGCGAAAACGGTCTCCCATGGAGCCGTGGCTGCAAAATTTCATCGCTAGTAGGTTGGAGGCATTGCGCCACCGCTATCCGAAAGATCAACAATGGAGAAACATGCGAAGACCGCGTTTTATAAGTAGTAACAAGTGCCACGCTAGTAGTAAAAGAAACCTTTGTGCCGAGTTCCTTTTCGTTTAGGTAGTTTGATCCTGTGGATCCCAGCATTGCTTGCGTTGCTCGGGGTCTGTTGGGGCCTTCTCCAGCAGGACTTGCTGGGGTTCTTTCTACAAAAGAAGCATTCCGCAGATCGAATCACATTCTGAAGCTTTCTGCAGAAACATCTTTGCTAACAGCATTCTCGTTTTAGGATTTTGCATTGAATTCTTGAACATTTTGCATGAAAAAAGAACTTAGACATACTTCGACGTCTTAGAAGATGTTTTTTTTCCAAGAAAAGCAAATGCCTCGAGAGACGGAGCCACTGCGAGGAGGCCACCCGAAATGAGCTCGTGGTCCTCCTCACAGGACAAATGAAAACGAAGTCCAAACGCCTTTGCTGTCGTTCGACAGGGTTTCCTAATAGCGATGGCCTCCAAACGCCTTTGTGGTCGTTCAGACTTGGAATTAGTAGTAGTAGTAGTAATAATAGTAGTAGTAGCAGTAGTTGTAGTTGTAGTTGTAGTAGTAGCAAGAAAAAAGGGGGATAACATTGTCTGACATAGCTTGTCAAGAAATGAAGACAGTCTTGGGATTTATATCTGCATAGTCTTTTGGAGGACTTGGGCAGCGCTACTAGTAGCAAGGGCATCGCTACCAGTAACAAGGGCATCGCTACCAGTAACAAACTCCTACCTACCAACCTACTAGGAATGGCCTCCAACCTACTAGGATTTGTTTGTGAAAAACGACTGTGCCAAGAGTTTCGAGTATTGTCAGTTATGTAGTAAACCATCGATGGATACCGTGAGAAGAAGCGTCCTTCATCTTACAGCTGTTTGCAGTCTGATTTCACAAGAGGACGCTACTAGGGGCTCCGGGCCTTACTACTAGGAGCAAGAACGCCACTAGGAGCAAATTTGAGTAAGACCAAGCATGCCCCATCTCCATGTGAAACGATTCATTCGTTGCTTTGCATAATTGAGAGTCTCGATGGGGTGTGCAACGGGACGTCTTCATGGGTTCCCGATGGTTCTCTCCGTTTACGGAAGGGAATCCACGGCAAGCTGTTTGGCGTTGGATTGTTGCAACACGGGGGGCCTGCACCTCTATTGATCCCAAAAGGAGTAAAAGGAGTAATTTTTCAGATTCAGCATCAAAATAGAAAAGACCGTTTTGTTCGGCGAGGGTGCTTCAGCATGTTGCTATGACAGTGACTTCTACACTTACTCCCCTGCCAGCCCATCCTCCCAAAGTGCATGCAAAAGCAAGAACCAGCGAGACTGGACTGACAATTGTCAAACGACAATTGCTAGGTCGGAGGCCATGGCTAGTAGGAGCAAGGACGCTACTAGGGGCTCCTGGCCTTACTACTAGTTGCAAGAACGCTACTAAGAGCAAAGGCATCGCTACGAACGGAGCGATCGGACGCTGGTAGGTTGGAGGCCATCGCTCTTAGGTTGTGTGTTGTGCCAGGACTCAGTGCTTCCATCGTTGGATCTGAAGAACAGCGGGCGGCCTTGCCACACACCACTCCCCAGAAGGAGCGGGATGCTTTTGTCATTGCAACTGGGATGCATGGCCACCTTCATATGCGCACCTAGGAGCAAGAGGACGCTACTAGGGGCTCCTGGCCTGTATCTACACCTTCATCGCAAATATGCCGTTGTGGTTGTAGGTGTTCACACGGCCAATACACGTGTTATACCTGCACCTTGATGATGTCGACTTGATGACAAGACACCCAAATGGGTGTGTTATGTTCATTGGGAGACCCCCAGCACATGGTTTTTGTATGTTTTTGGTCTATTTTCCTTCTTCCATGAGGTCGTTGGGAGGTCTCCCTATGTTAATACCCGAATGATGCTGATGATGGGGATGATGATCTCGAAGAATTCTGATGATGCGACGACGTGACACAATGATGGTCATAATGAGGACGATGGCTTGAAGACCTTGATAATGATGTTGATAAGCAGCGGGAACAGGAAGGAGTTTACAGTTCTTTGCGAAGAGCCCTTCGCAAGAGCTGGTTAATTTTTTTCCAGGTCCATCTCAGGGCAAATGACCAACACGCAGGTCCTTAAACTGTTGCTGGTTTTTGTTGCATGCCTTTCGAGGTTTTGATAGGTTTGGATTGGGTTGGTCCAGAATTAGACCTGTAATGTACCGGGCTTTTGCAAGCCTTCATTGGTTGGGATTAGCGGTTGATACCCGTGGAGGGTTTGTAGGTGTCCAAAGGATTGGTCTCAGCATGTCTCAAATTTGATTTCAAGTTGCTTATACATTTAAAATAAATTAACTAGTAGCTTCTTGTTACTACTAGTAAGGCACTTGTTACTACTAGCGTGGCACTTGTTTCTAATAGCTTCTTGTTACTATGCAGATGGATGTGGTAACAAGCAAGTATCTGATGACAGGAACACATGATATCTCCAACTTGATCATTGACTTGCAGGGTGTGATCCAAGGGGGGATCCTTTGCCTAGATAAGTAGCGGGTAGCGTTCTTGTTCCTAGTAGCATCCTTGCTCCTAGTAGTACGGCCAGGAGCCCCTGGTAGCGTCCTTGCTCCTAGTAGCGGTGCCAGGAGCCCCTAATAGCGAAAATTGTTGCTATAAACGACATGTGTCTTTTTCTTTCGACCCAGCTCGATTGTTTTTTGTCCAAGGCATTCTTCGTCGTGGCCATCTTCGAAGCCAACTGGGCTTTGCGCTTGCTGGTGGTCGAACCGATGGTGCGTCTGGTGATTGGCATCCGGGGCGATCAGTTTCTCAGCAAAAGCATCAACATAAACGCTTGATTGAGTAGCGTTCGGACGCTATGAGGTGGAGGCCATCGCTAGTACTTTGCATTGAAATTGCAACAAGACCGCTTCTGAAGACCTTGATGTGGCGTGAACTACCCCTAACGGCCCTAACAGCCTAGGTCTTGGCCTTTAACTATATCTTACTACTACAAATAAGACAACTACATCTTTGCATGAATGGCTTAGTTCTTTTGCAGTTTGCTACTGAGGCTAATCAAGTTTTCGCAGTCCGTCTTGGAGGTTCAATGGCTGGAGAGGGGAAATGCATTGCAAGCTAAGCTTGCAAAGTATCCAAGCTGAACAGGAAGAAGAAGATGAAGACGAGACAGAAAGAGACCATCAATAAGAAAGTCATGTCAAAAGACATGGTTCATCGAAGAAGAACACCTAGTAACTGCCTTTCACCCATTTGCCGTTGCCCCCATTTGGGGCGCCTTGGAGGCTTTGGTGTACGGCACCTTCACAGTCATCGGAATTGCTATCGTTGCTGGGTGAAAATTCAACAAACCGACCCACATGCGAAGCCGTTTTTGGACCAATCACGGTTTCTCCAAAATGAACGGTTCTCAATGTTGAAGAATTGCTAAACCATTCGTCGTGTCTTAGCAAGGTTCCGAACCAGCCGTGGGCATGGCCAAGTGCAAACTGGTGGAAGGGGTTCGATAGTGGCCAGTTCCTCAGTGGAGAGGAAGTGCCAATGTAAAGAAAGGCTCTAAGCTCTCAAAAATAGAAAAGAAAGGAAGGAAAACGAATGGTCTAAAGGTCAAAAGATGCAAAGGCGATCATGAAAGCATCTTGAGACTCAATGACAGGTGATCACTTGATCATGCGCTCGGATTTGCGGTGCTTCTATATCCTCTACGCCGCACGCTACATTCAGGCAAATCTTTTACTTCTGTGTTTTCCGTTTCCTTCTTTAGATCTTTAGATTTCTTTCTTTCTTTCTTTCTTGAGACGTTTCTTTCTGTGCTAGGCTGCAGTGACCGTCCTGCTAGAACCGAAGAGAAAGGACTTCTTAGAGATGATGGTTCTTTGGCGGCGAAAAAGAAACATCAATCGAAGGCTACTGGTAACAAGGGCATTAATACTAGCAACAAGAAGCTACTAGGGGCTCCTGGCATTGCTGCTAGGAGCAAGGACGCTACTAGGGGCTCCTGCATTACTACTAGTAACAAGAAGCTACTATTACTATCACTCATTTGCCACATTGCTTTTTGAGCATAGGTGCATCATATCGTTACTATTGGCGCTCCTTGGCATCAAGTCATGGCATGGCTGAATCTTGCAGTGGCATGGTGGCACATGGCGAGGTGGTTTATGTGTCTTACTTTGGCGGCTGGAACCGAGTTGGAGTCGTTGCAGCTTGGCGTCTGAGAGCGGCCTCTGAGCGAGAGCAAAGCGTCTTCCTAGCAATGGCCTCCAACCTACTAGCGATGGCCTCCAGCCTACCTCCAGCCTACTAGCGATGGCCTCCAGCCTACTAGCAATGGCCTCCAGCCTACTAGCGATGGCCTCCAACCTACTAGCGATGGCCTCCAGCCTACTAGCGATGGACCTACTAGCCATGGCCTCCAACCTACAAGCGATGGCCTCCAACCTACTAGTGATGGCCTCCAACCTACTAGCCATGGCCTCCACCCTATTTGCGCTGGCCTCAAACCTACAAGTCTTTTGGGTGCTTCGTGTAATGTAATTTTGCCGAGCACATTCAGGTCATGGTTCTCTTAGATCCAGCAGATGTGCCATTGCATTTGGCGACCCTTTGCTGATCAAAGCAAATCGAACCAAATCAATCATGCGAAGGGTTCTCCTGCGTGCTAAGCCTAGTAGCTACTTAAACTTTGTGGCTTTCTTTGCCTACTACTTCCATGTTTTAAGTTTGCCTCAACATCTAGGAGCCAAATCATTAGTGCGAGCGCTTCTTCAAGGAAGCTTCCCCCGGAGCCTGAGCTTCCTTGAAAAAGCGTGAGCTATCCTGCGTCCAGGTAGTAGCTTGAGTAGCTAGGAGCTTACTCCAGGGCAGAGCTGGCTAAATATATATTTGTATATATTTATATCTACAATAATGATAATGATAATAGTAGCAGTTGCAATATTCATAACAATAATGCAAAGCAAACAATTAAAATCTTTATAGAATTATTGTTTTGTCCACTTAGGAAACTGTGCAAATACACCTCGGAAGCTTTGCAGATGAATCTGTGGCAGTTCTTTGCCGATCGGCTTTTCGAGTTCTTCGCCGTGCTGCGTCTGGGCGAAGAACGTGACGACCGCGAAGAACACGCTTGACGTTCCAAAACCTCCTTTCCACCCGTGTTTGACCGAAAGTGAACGGCACCAGCCCATTTTATGAGAGTTTCTTCATTGATTTGTGGTCGGCGTAGCAACGCGTAGCAACAGGAATGCAGAATGTCCACATGGGAAAAGGAGCAAGGACGCTACTAGGGGCTCCTTACTAGGAGCAAGGACGCTACTAGGGGCTCCCATGCTCCCCTGGATACTCCGCCTGGATGGTGCTCCGTTGCTCTTAGGTTCTTCGTGACTCGCCTTGTGATGTTCGGGCATCCTGGCAGACAATTAAGATGCACGGTTTCTCTTCTTTTTGGGTCTCACGAACGCGCGTGTCTCACGAAAAGGTACGTGTGCTGGCTGGTGGCTCAGATGGAGCTTCGCTGCAAACGGTAGACAACTCTGGCGGTGCCGAAGTGCGGAACCGACCCTAGTAGCGTCCGATCGCTCCTAGTAACAAGTGCCACGCTAGTAGTAACAAGTGCCTTACTAGTAGTAACAAAAAGCTATTAGAATTAAAACTAAAGTAAATTTAATAGTTTCTTGTTACTACTAGTAAGGCACTTGTTACTAGAAGCGATGCACTTGTTCCTAGTAGCGTCCGATCGCTCCTAGTCTTGTGCCAGGTCGGCCCACTTCGAGTCGGCACAGTACTTTGACGTGAACTACGCGGCCAAGTTTTGTATTCTTTTGCTTTACCTCTTGATGGTCTCCTGGATGGAAGCTAGTAGCAAGGTGCCTTACTGGTAACAAGCTACTAGTAGTAAGACTCCTTGCTACTAGTAGCAAGAAACGAGTAGTTTTTCCGAATGTGTTCTTGTCGACTGGTCGAGTAACAAGGACAACAGACAGGTCCAGAAAGGTCTATCTTTTTTTTCGTTTAGTCTTTTTGTCTAGACCTCCAAGCCCTTTCTGTCCTTCTTTTCTTTGGAACTTTAGACGTTTTGTCCTTTTCCTTTCTTTTGTTTTTCTTTAGACCTTCCTCTTGCATCGACGATGTAGGTCCTTTGCGGTCCTGTATTGACCCAAGGTTTTGCAGCTCTATTGGTTTGGCTTGATCCTCAAGGCTGGCGGCCTCCAACCCGATAGGAAAGATGCTGTTTGAAGTCTTTTCACCGAATTGTCATTGTTTCCTTCCCTTTCTCCTTGGTATCTAGGGCAATATAGGTAGCTTCAGCTACGCCGTATGCAAAATCACATTGATAATCTGGTTGCAAAATAGGCGTGTACTGCCAGCTACTTTTCTATCAAGCTTACCCCCCATCTGCATGACCCATCCACCAAAGAAGAAGAGGTGTTAAAGCTCGTTTCCCCACAACTTGCCGTGGATTCTTTATCCTCTCCTCGTCTTCCTTCTCTTTCTCTTCCTACTAGGAGCAAGGATGCTACTAGGGGCTCCTGGCCTTACTACTAGTAGCATTCTTACTAGGAACAAGAAGCTATTAGAAACAAGTGCCACGCTAGTAGTAACAGGTGCCTTACTAGTAGTAACAAGAAGCTACTAGTAAACACTTCACTCAAACGACCGCGACTGCCCTCGTCCATTCACTTTCCCCCCCCCGCTCTCACTCCACTGGACTCAGCTGTTGGACTGCGATGCACTTGTTCCTAGTGGCTTCTTGTTACTAGTAAGGCACTTGTTACTAGTAGCGATGCTCTTTGTTACCTGCAAGCTTACCTGCAAGCTTTTTGACAAGCTTCACTTGTGAGGTTTGGCCAGCGTTGGTTTTTGTGTCCAGGTGGCCGTGAAGCTGATGCGAGGACAAGGAGCCGAGGACATCCGCTCTGACGACGAAGATGAAGCTCCGAAGTCGCCTGGGCAAAGCAAAGACCGAGAAAAGCAACCCTATAGCAGGACCCCTGAAGGAGTGTGGGGGGCCACGCTAGTAGTAACAAGTGCCTTACTAGTAGTAACAAGAAGCTATTAGAAACATCCGCTCGCTGGGTGAATGGGACAAAAGAGCCTTAAACGCGCGGGTAATATACAGCAAACCGCGACTAGCAGCACTCGAAGGGTGGCTAGTGACTAGCTAGTGGATAAACACATGCTACGGGGGGTCTATACACCCGAACTGTGCTTTCGAAGAGCCAAAAAGGCGGAGAAACCATTTGCTAGGACGCTACGATCGGGGCTCCTGGCATCGCTACTAGTAACAAGAAATAAACAATTAGCAGCAAAGGAGGCTACTAGGAGCTTTTTCGCACGCGCGCGCGCGCGCCGGGGGGGGTGGCGTCCTTGCTCCTAGTAGAGAAGACTTGACTTTCCCAACAAGTTTTGTTGAACATCTGAGGCGCGTTTCCCGAAAGTGCAGGTTCTCGCATCGCTACACAAACTCTTTCAAAGTGCATGTTTTTCTGATTCAGGGCACACCTTTCAAGTGGAACAAAGGATTCTGGTGAACGCTACTCCGTTGGAGGCCATCGCTACTAGGTTGGCGGCCATCGCTACTAGGTTGGAGGCCCTTGCTATTAAATTAGGTATGGACTTCAAGACACTCCAACTCTTCACAACTACAGCGCATGATAAGTAGACATACAGTTGGACACCCGTGGTAGAGTCCTTGTGTTTGAAAGGTCAACGGAAACAAGCTACTTAATTTTGTATGTTTCTTGGTGGGAAGAAACATAAAATCATAGATGTTTCCATAACTAAAAACATTTTTTAGTTAAGATAGGAACCGTGAACGGTTTGGTTCGGCTCGCAGCGCACTTTCAGCCTTTGAACAGAACCGTTTCATGAAGTGCTTTGAACCAGTTTGCCAACAAGTCAGCCCCTAGTAGCGTCCTTGCTCCTAGTAGCGATGCCCTTTGCTCCTAGTAGCTTCTTGCTCGAAGTAGTAAGGCCAGGAGCCCCTAGTAGTTTCTTTTTGGTGGTAGCTTCAATTCTTTTTTCGAACTGCCTCAAACGAGTTGGTGTTGCGATATCGAAGCACGTTCTTCTGCTTCGCACGCTGAGGAAGAAGGATTAGAAGCTGCACCTTTTGATGTGAGGCCTTAGCACCTCTTAGCAGCGCGGCGAAGCAGCCGGTACGCTGTTGTACGGTGAAAAGCGGTGCGAAAAGCGGCGGCGCTGCGGAGCGCGGAGCTTTGAGCGTGACTTGAGGTGTGTCGGGTTGGCCCCAAACGAGTCACCCTTTGAGCGGAGCTTGTTTCACACCTAAAAAGCTTCTTGTTACTAGTAGCTCCTAGTAGCGTCCTTGCTCCTAGTAGTAAGGCCAGGAGCCCCTAGTAGCTTCTTGTTACGACAGGTGAAACGATTCCCAAGGAAGCTCTTGCTCCTAATTAGGCGAACCTTGTTCCGAGTAGTAGTGCCAGGAGCTACTAGTAGCTTCTTGTTACGAGTAGCGATGGCCTGATCTCTATTTGCTTCCTTTGTTCATCTCGGATTGTCGCAGACAGATGCAGAGCAGCATGAGCATGATGCAGAGGGTAGTGCTTTGGTGCAGGATGAGTGCTTTTTGGCCTATTCCATCCCATACACATACACAGACTTGTCCGAGCCTCGGGCCTTCTACTCGGTTTTGACCGGTCCGCTAGTAGTGATCGAACGCTACGAATGGGGCTCCTGGCCATGGCTAATACTAGGAACCAAAGGCATCGCTACGAACGGAGCGATCGGACGCTATTAGGTCCGGAGGGACGTGCGACGCCACGTGTCGTGTGGCGTCGCAGATTCAATCCGAGGCTCCGCGATTTGCAGCCATGGCCATGGGAATCCTTGGCCACGACCATGACCGGAAATCAGGCCCACCTGGAAGCCAACCTTTCAACAAAGGTTGGAGGCCATCGCTATTAGTAACAAAGCGCATCGCTACTAGGAGCAAGAACGCTACTAGTAGCTCCTGGCCTTACTACTAGTAACAAGAAGCTAGTAGGTTGGAGGCCATTGCTAAAAGCGCTCTCACCAGGTGCCGGTTCTTCGTTTGGGCAACGAGCAGTCGCTGCAGAGGGCTTGCATTGTGGTTTGGATCTTGGACTGTTTTCTCGACGAGCAGTCGAAGCTGAAAGAAGTGAGGACAAAACGAATTTGAGCGTTTCGAAATCTTGAGAGAAACCGCTAGTAGAGGGTGGAGACCATTGCTAGTAGGGTGGAGGCATTTCTATTAGCTTCGGTCTCCTATAAGGAGACCCTTGGGGAGACCGCTTCCCAGGCACGAGCGCATCCTGGGGAGACCCATGCCTCCTGGGTGATGCGTGGAGCATGGGGTCCCGGTTGGACAGACGTTTGAAGAAGGCACGAAAAAGTAAGAAACTAGCTCCTAATAGCGTCCTAATAGCTCCAGCTTCTTGTTCCTACTAGTAAGGCACTTGTTACTAGTAGCGTGGCACCTTGTTACTATTAGCTTCCACGTCTTCCTCATGTCTTTCTGAACCGCTTCCAAGTCTTTCGAACTCGAACTCGGGTCCGGTGGGTCCATGTCCCGAGGTCTTGGACTTCCTTGCAAGTGATGAGGCGGTTGGTGACCGGTTCGAAAAAAGACGAGCCAAGAAGTCCTGGAGGCCTCCAACCTAATAGGAATGGCCGAACAGCAATGGTCGTGTGATGGTTTTCTACGGAGTTCAAGAGACAGCCCGTCAAGGTGTTCCTGCGCCAGGCCCGAGGTTGCCTTAGTCAACTGGCTTGGCTGATCGTTCCCATGTCCCTTCCTCAGAAAATGAACAAGGTCTTAAGGCCAAGGGTGGGTTTCTTGGAAGGTTTTCATGAAAGCAGACTTTGCTTTTGGTTGCAAAGAAGAGTAGTAAGGCTAGGAGTCCCTAGTAGCGTCCTTGCTCCTAATAACGATGGCCTCCAAGCCCTAAGTTTCCCTAAAAATCTAGGAACCAAATCATTAGCTCGAGCTATCCTGCGTGTGGCCTGTTGGACTCAAAAGATTAAGTAGGGAGGGGGGAAGCGGGCGAGGACAAAAAGAAACTCCTTCATCTACATATATGGCCTGTTGGAAGCGGACACGTCGTTCCCTGCAGCAGCATGAATGGCTGAATGACTCAGAAGCTGTTCACAGAACTCAGATCTTGCTGAGGAGTATAATTGGTGGTGCACCCATGCAACTCAACAAGGTTTAAGACCTGATTCAGGTGCAGTGGTTGTCCAAACTCCTGTCAAAGCATTCGGCTGAGCTGTTGCCAGCGTCCCCAATCACTAGTTGAGCCCCTTCACTGAGGTCAATGTTTATAAACAAGAAGCTACTAGGAGCAAGGGCATCGCTACTAGCAACAAGGACGCTATTAGTAGCTCCTGGCCTTACTACTAGTAGCAAAGACGCTACTAGGAACAAGTGCATCGCTTCTAGTAACAAGTGCCTTACTAGTAGGAACAAGAAGCTATTAGAAACAAGTGCCACGCTACTAGGAGCAAGGGCATCGCTTCTAGTAACAAGAAGCTACGAATGGAGCTCCTGGTATCGAAGGGCATCACTGGTGCTTCATCGCCGTCTCACGATGTAGGGACGACGTCGATGGAACGCCGAGACTTTTCGGAACCAAAAGAACCTAGTAGTGATGAGCTCCTAGTAGCTTCTTGTTCCTAGTGGCGAGGCCAGGAGCCCCGTTCGTAGCTTCTTGCTACTACTAGTGCCAGGGGAGCTACTAGTAGTTTCTTGTTGCTAGTAGTAAGGCACTTGTTCCTAATAGCTTCTTGTTACTACAAGTAAGGCACTTGTTACTAGTAGCGTGGCACTTGTTGCTAGTAGGGTGCGTTCCAAAAGAACCGAAAGAACATGTGATTAACCAACGCTCTTCTTGTTTCGCTGCTTGCATGTTTCGCTTTCGAGGTTGAACGTGGACGGTGTGGCTGCTGGGCGGACTCGAACCAATTTGGACTCCGTGGACCTCAACAGGTGCCGCCCCATCGCATGGCGCAGCGATGGCGTCTTTGCTCTCCAAAAACAGTTAGAAAGAAAATATAAACACTTTTCTTTTTTTTTT